TTTCCCCGCGTGCCTCTCCGTAATGTGTCGTGGGGTTTAGGTGTGTGCGCTGTTTTTGTCAGGTCCGTTTCGCCGTGTAGGTTGGTTCTGGAGGTCCGTCTGTTCCCCTCCCCCCCCTGCGCTGTTTTGGGCCGTTTGCCCTTCGTGTGTCCGCTTTTTTCTTCCTCTTGCCTTTCAGGGTTGACCCGGCTCTGGCCGGGTGTGTGTGTGTGTGTAACATCTTAATAGATGTAAAACTTCTCTCTTTTTCTTCCTTCTGTCCTCTCCCTTTTTAAACCTAGTGCAGGGGGGCAATCTCATGTTTGCAGCTGATTGCCCAACGAAGAGGGCTGCATTCATGACTGATATGATTCCGGGACGCTGGAGTCACGTACCTGCCACTTTTTTCAGAAATGGGAAGAGGCTCAACCCAAGAACCTCAAAGTCAATTTATTTATTTCTTCACGGCTGCCACAATCTGTATTTTCGCCGACAGTATTTTGGATTCTTTGGATTATTTCGCCGACTATGTCGCCGATGTATTTGGATTATTTCGTCAAAACCACGTCGCCGATGTATTTTTGATGACGATCATGGACATGGAAATCACTCAGGAGAACTTCTATTATTCGCAGGATGCATCGTTAATTTCTTTGTTTCTTATCTAATCTGCATGTTTCAGGATTCAGCTCCTGCCGGATCACATAATGATCCATTCTTGTCTAGTGTGTGTCTGTGTGTGTGTGCGTGTGCGTCTGTGTGTGTGCGTGTATATATATATATATATAATTATTTTTAGTATAACATATATATATATATATAAAATGTGTGTGTGCTTGTTCGTGTGTCCATTCGTCTTTGTGTGTGTACGTTTGTGCGTGCATTTGTCTCTAAAAAGTTTGGTGTGTAAAAGCGTCTGTGTGTGTAAAAGTGTTGGCGTGTAAAAGCGTCTGTGTGTAAAAGTGTTCGTGCGTAAAAGTGTCTGTGTGTAAAAGCGTCTGTGTGTAAAAAGCGTCTGTATGTGAAAGCGTCTGTGTGTAAAGGAACCTGTGTGTAAAAGCGTCCGTATGTAACAGTGTTTGTGTGATGTTTGTGTGTAAAAGCGTCTGTGTGTAAAAGTGTTTTTGCGTAAAAGTGTGTGTGTGTGTGTAAAAGCAAAGCGTCTTTGTGTAGAAGTGTTGGTGTGTAAAAGCGTCTCTGTGTAAAAACCTCCGTGTGTAAGGGAGACTGTGTGTAAAAGCGTCATTTTGTGTAAAGGAGTCTGTGTGTAAAAACATCTTTGTAAAAAAGCGTTTGTGTCTAAGTGCGTCTGTGTGTAAAAGCGTCGGCGTGTAAAGGCGTCTATAAGGATGTAAAGAACCTGCGTGTAAAAATGTCTGATGTAGAACTCTTTATTTGCCTTTTCTTCGGTTTGCGTCCTAGAAGCATTTTTCTTGATGTGTTATCCTTTTCTTCTCGCAAAAATTTCATACATCTTTTTTATGTTGTCTAATGATATATTGTTTTGATACTCTTCTTCTCGCCTGCTTGTGATACTTCTTTAATATATCGTCTTGTAAATTTTTTCTGTCCTGATATTAACACGCGAGGAAATATATTGTCTTAATATTAACACTCGAAGGAATTGTTCTTCTACGCTCTCGGGCCAGACATCATGACTTTTGCGCATTTCATGTTGCCTTCGCTTGTGCTTTCGGCTGGTCACCGCTCTCTATTCATCAGTTTGTGCTTCCTGTGAGTGTTGTGATGTTATTGTGTGCTCGATGTCCGCAATTAGTTTGTTTTTGCATCGCTGAGCGTTAATATTTCACGCTTCTGGTAGTTCGTCAGACTTCTTTGCCGGTTTGTGTTTTCCCAACATTGAGAGTATATTTCTCCGTGAACGATCAGTGGCTGATGATATGTATGATTGTATAATATAATCCAAATAATCTTATATTGCTTTATTGGGGCATGGAATGGCATCATGAGGTGCTTCTCCTCGAAAAAAATGAGTTCTCTGAAGCGCTTCGTTGGATGCATTCTTGAATGCCAAAGTGCACTTCGAGTGCCGAACTGCAAGTATGATCAGATGAAACGTGTGCAATTTGTGTTTTTGAGATTCAATTTGTATATTGTGACCAATCACTGGGTGAACGTTCACCCATGGGCCTGTGTGAAACCGCATGGGCCTTAAGTGCCATGAGTTGTTGCTGCAGTCCACCAAGTCTCACCAAGTGGCTGCAAACTTTTCCTCAACAGAGCTCATGGGATCTTTTCGATTAAGAAGTCTTAAAATATACTTTTGGGCAAAGGCAAAGATGAAACCGCTGAGCAGGTAGTGCGTCCAAAGCGTTCTAAAACCAGCTGGGTTCCTGTAGCTGAGATCACGGGGCAGGCTCGAGGCTATCAAATTATCCCTCTGTCAAGGATTGCTGAAAGTGCGGTTGGCCAATTGCTCAAGCATGCTCAAGCCCAATCACACAATACGTTTGCATAACAACTTCAGCAAGGGAAACTGTTTAGAACTCCACTTTGATTGAACACAAACTCACGGCATCTCTGATCTGGAACTGATTTTGATTTATTTCAAAGATTTCTAAGCTCACTTATCCACATGTTCAAGAAGTCGCTGGGTGCTCAGACATCGAGGAGCCGAAACCGCTGTCCTTTCTCTTGCTGAATCTGAGTGTCTTTTTAACTCGTTGGATCAGGTACACTGCTCAAGGGCAAAATCTTCTCTCAAAGAAGGCACTTGAAATCATATTTTGTCTTCAAGGTATAAAGCAGCGGTTTCATCTTGTGCGCATGTAGGATGTTGTGAAATGTTGTGAATGCATGTGGCTGGGCTCGTGTAAAGTAAAGTAAAGTGGTTTGGGTTAGTGAAATTGTTATGTTTTGGCCACGTGTATACACACATGTGATCGATGCATGCAGAGATAAGAACAACATGCTTCTGGGTAGTGCTATCTCCCAAGTTCGGTGCGTGTTGAGACAAGGACGAGTCCAGGATTTCAATGTTTTTTTGACCATAAGAGAGCATCCGCTCATTCAGCTACAAAGTTTTCGGGAGACAGTGCAGTACTTGCTGTAGGATTTGAAGGCATTGAAGAGCCGGGCACCCACAGCGGACAAACTGCGTGCTGTGAAGATTTGAAGATGACGAGGACACGGTGAAGAGCAAACATCACAATGTGAAATAATGTGAACAAGAATTTGTGACGACACGGCAAGCAAGTCAGTGTATTATAGTGTATTATAGTGTATTCAGTGTTGCTCCCGCACCGTGTCTTGCCCTGTGACCTGCGCTGCAAGGTCAACTGTGCGAGCTCTACCCTAGCCTGACGGAAAAGGAAGTAGATGAGATTCTGCCGGAGGGGCAAGCCAAGGCTCCGATTCTTTCTGTGGGTGGGACATGGTGGGACCTTGTAACCCTCGAATCTTCTTGCTTGGAGCCCTTGGATCTTCCCTAACGTTCAGGATCACACCCTCCCTCCCTGCAGACATGAGCATACCACCATGATCCACCATTTGTACCACTCCATCCAAGCCTTTGTCCTGGTTCCCGACCTCACACAAGGTCGCTAGAATCAGTGAGACTGTCATGATTGCAAGCCTAGACCTCTCTGCATTTCCCAGTCTGCATATTTTCCACATGCTCAGCTGATATCAGCTGATCATGCTGCATCATTTGCCGCAGTTTTTGCCAGTGTCGCATGAGCTGTTGCCTTATTATTATTATTATTATTGTTGTTGTTATTGTTGTTATTATTATTATAGCACAACCATTTGTGTAAATGCATAAAAACATTCAACATCGAGACACTTGTCTTGTTTTGACCATTTGTGGCCATTTTGACAAGAAGCGTCTTGCATGGACACTTCTTGAAGCTTTGACTTTGCTTCTGGGAGGTCGTAAAGTTGGACAATCGCTGCCTGCTCTACTCCGCGGGCGATGCCCCTGCTGCCTTCTTTGACGCAGAAGGAAGAAGTGAGTTGTCAGCCCAGAGTGAAGAACCTAAAATTCCAATGTCTTAATAGAAATTTCTTGGAAAATCAAGGGTGATGTCAATATATGTCAGTGGTTTTGGAAGAAATTGGCTGCAACCTGGGTTTTGTCAATCTAGAGGCCAACGACCAAATCACCAAATCCCACAGGATCCGGGAAACGCCTCATTTCTGAACGCGGAACTTAGCTCGTTTTGGTTTTTTCAAGGTGTTTTGCTTTCCTGGTTCTCTTGCTGGTTTCCCGATTTCTGGTTTCCTGGCTTCCCCGGTTTCCTGGTTTCCTTTTCCCGGTTTCCGGGTTTCCTGGTCCTTCTAAAAAGGAGCTGGGATAATACACCTTCATTACATCTACAATCATCTACACAACTTACGTCAGCTGATCTTACATCTTCGCATCTTACGTCAGCTGCTCTGACATCTTCACATCTTACGTCAGCTGCTCTGACATCTTCACATCTTACGTCAGCTGATCTTACATCTTCAAAATGAGGGTTGATCGTCAAAACCTGAGGAAAATTGCGAGTTTGAGTTGTCTCTTTTGCGTCCGCGGGTTTTTTTGCAGCATAATGTGATGTTTGGGTTTGGATCTTTGTCTTTTATGTCTTGCAATGTGTTCCGCAAGCATAATGTGTGATTTTCTTGCGCGTCCTTGCTGCGTCCACGGCGGGTTCTGCCGCATAGTGTTTCATTTGGATAGTGGAACTCTGATGAACATGTGTTATTATGCTGCGGCGGGTCATGTCTCGAAGCGGGTTCCCAAGCATAATACAATAGTTTGATCCTAGAAAACGGTGGAAAGGTGTTTGTGTCAAAGCTAAAAGCGTCTGTGTGCGTAAAGGCATGTGCGCCTTCGTTCCTTGCTTGCTGCCAGTGCCAGTCCAAATGTTTTTTTCAGAGGGTGTTTTTGTTTGGATGTTCAGAAATGATCCGGTTTTCGTGTTCCAAAATGAGCCGTGTACCACAGGATCCTACCACACCACTGAAGCCTTGTATCACACCATGCACATCCATGATCATCCATGCACCAATTTGAGGCTGTATCCCACCCTGTACACTTTGTGGCAGTATCCGCACTGTTCTCAGATGTGTTTTCAGATGCCAGACCCTGAGACTTCTCCGAGCCTGAGGCATATCATGCAAGAGTTGACAATTCACCCGCCTGTGCCCGCAACTTACAACCGATCTCAGTCTGTTTGTCAAGAGCTCGACAGACGTAGGGCAAACCTACGGACCGAACTATGCTGAACTCCAGTTGTGTTGGCAGAGAAGGTTTCTACATATTCACACATACTGTATCAAATCTGTATCAATATGTATGAATTATTATGTTCACTTATATATCATTATGTAATATTATATAAGTGTGTATTCATGTGTATTCAATAATTTCAATATGCATTTGTGTGATGGGAATTGTAGGTCCAAATTTGTGCTGAACGGAGCTGATTTGATGTTGCCTGGAGTCTTGGTGCCTCGGCACCGTTTGATTTTTATGCCGTTGACATCCTTTGACCCTTTGACTTATGTTGCATATTTGTTGCATCTTTTTGCATCTTTTTGCTCTTGACCTGACGATGACTCGACGATGACTCGAATTCACTCGACTCAGCTGAGCGGCTGCGGTGCCTCAGGTGCCGGCCAACGGAGTCGTTGGCTTCGGAACCGTCACAAAGGGGCAGCGCCTTGGAGAAACTCGGAAAATTGCGAGAATCCTCGGAATTGAGAAGCCCTTACCTTCAAGCTTCAAAGCTTAACAGAGTATTAACATGTCTTTGATAAAACTGAGAGAAGAAAGGCTTGGAAGAATATTGAGCAAAGCTGATCAAGAAAGGCATAAGCCATCGGCTTTGTCTTGCTTTGTTTATGACATTGCAGGGCTATGCCTTGCACAGAGGCCTCGATGTATCAAGATCGATGGCAATCCCTACGCCATAGCAGTTGGAAGGATGCTGGTAAATCAGACGCAAATGGAGAAGTCTAGGCCTTAGTCAGTGGAAAAGTTGACGTAGTAGTTGGGGTGCAAGTTGAAGTGGGATCGGAATTCAGTTCTTTTTGAGGCTGAAGGGCAAGGGAATGGAGGTGCATTCCAACTGTATCTTCTTTGCTCGGTCTGCTGTGATTTGTCAAATTTTGCAGCGAAATTTTCTGTCACTTTTGATTTGTCAAATCGGCCCTTGACTTCCCGTTCAGGTCCTGCATGTCTACAAGGATGGCCTGTGGGCACAGTGTGGAAAGGCCGCCACTGGGATTGTCATTGCTCAGCATTGCTCCTGTGAGTTTCCAATAGTTTCCTTGCATCAGAATCTCATCAGATCAGAGGCCCTTTGTTTTTTCAAGTTCTTCTTTTGGAATGGGCTTGTAGACGGCCTTCAGGAGTCAAAGCTGTACAGTAAGCCCTGCATTTCAATGCATTTCATGCGAAAAGGTTTAGTCAAGTGGCAAACTGCTTGCTTCAGTACAGTGTAATTGCCTGTCTCTTTGAGGGGTAGACATGGTAGACTGAAGCAGCTTTCAATTTCTTTCAAGCTGTGTCTTCAATTGTCCCTTATCCTCTTGTCTTCCTTGCCGCTCTACATCACTCTTTCCACCGGGTCCTCGGGCAAGGTCAAGCCCAACGCAGGTTTTACCGAAGAAGAGGAGGCAAGTAGACAGATTTTTTAGAAAGCATTAGAAAGCATTGGCGGTACTGGCAGTACAGTGGTAGATGTGGTAGAGCATTGCCATGCATTGCCCAATCCTGTTTGGAGCACAGTAAGTCGTAAGCTTGCCACCTTCAGGTCGCACCATGTTCCGAAAGCGAATGGAACAAAGATAACAAAGAGCTGCAAGAGCCCACGCCTGGCAAAATCTGGGACTCTCTGGGACTCGCGACAGAATGCTGTGCCAAGATCTGCCAAGGTCAGCGACAAAAGATGCAGCAGAGACAGGCAGATGGAAGGTTGATGAGTTGATGTTGTGCCATAAGAGTTCCGGCATTTCAACTTTCTACTCATCAAGTTTCTTGTCGGTTTCTGACATTTTCATACATTTTCTACTTTCTTAGTCTTTCTTATTCTAATTAGTCCGGAAAGACCGACAAGAATCTAGAATCGCACAAGGGTAAAATTTCGGCATGGCAGGCCAACCTGCTACAGCTTTTCACGCATAGCTCATATTGTCGTCTCATATCCAAACAGGGTTCCAAAGTTGCATTCTCGCACCACTCCAAGAACAGCAATGAACAGCATCCGAAAGAATTGTTTGTCTCCCCCTTCAGCAGACATTTGTTGCTGCATGCCTGCAGCACAATGGACGACTTTGCGAAGGGTGAGTAATGGCGAAGAATGTGAAGCGTGAGTCGTGTATTTGGCCTTCGTTCATATTAGTCTCCTCTTGTTTTGAATGTCAACCGTACTTCGCCCTTCTGAACGCAAAACAAAGAATGTTCAAAAAGAGTGTGAAGCTTCTCCGCAATTCAAGTTTTAAAGTGGCAGCAAACAGGAGCCCCAAGCCTCTTGTATGCAAACGTGAATGATGTGAACCTTTTTGCATTTTGGAATTACATAAAGTTGTCTCCCAATGGATGAAAATCACAACTTACTGTCGAATCTTGCAGTGCATAGTTTGACCGACTATGTGATTATCCTGTATTATTTTGGCGTGCTGCACAGTTGATCCCCCGTGGCACATTTTGATGACTTTGAATGACTTTGATACAATCCATGGATGATGGCATGGGTTCAGGTGACAAACCTGCAGAGGAAAAACCATCAGGTGGTAGCTGCGCTGCATCAGTGGCCACAAAGATTTTCAGCAGCTTCAGAACTACTGTATAATTAGTAGGGAGAAATCGGGAGAAAGATGAGGGAGCAAGAGGTGATTAACTCTGAGTGATGGTGAATCAATGATAAACCTATGCGAAACAAGAGGCACCTGTTTTGGTCAGTTTAGAAAAAATGTGCTGTGCCCTGAACTTTGTTTGCTCACAAGGTGGCAAGGCAGGGACCTTTGGTATTTAATGATTTTTGATGCTGTTTGCAAGTTGCTTAAGAGTTGCTTAAGAGTTTCTTAAGAGTTGCTTTCAATTTGTGTCATTTTGTGTCAACTTTGAAAGCGACTGAAGCGAAGTGCAGGCAGCTGCAGACTGGACGTCCACCTGGCTCGTTTTGCCTCTCTTTTAACCATGAGCCTTTGGGCAACGCCCGCAGAAGTCGGTTGTTTCTCAAGGCAAGACGATCTTCTGGATTTCACGTTTTTGCAAGCAATGAAGCAAAGCCTGGCTGACGACAAGGCGCAAAACCAGACTCGCTTGCCATATCATGCCACAACATACCATAACTGCCACAACATGCCATAACTGCCACAACATACCATAACTGCAATAACTGCCATAACATACCATAACTGCCACAACTGCCACAACATGCCATAACTGCCACAACATACCATAACTGCAATAACTGCCATAACATACCATAACTGCCACAACTGCCACAACATGCCATAACTGCCACAACATACCATAACTGCAATAACTGCCATAAAATACCATAACTGCCATAACTGCCACAACATGCCATAACTGCCACAACATACCATAACTGCAATAACTGCCATAACATACCATAACTGCCACAACTGCCACAACATACCATAACTGCCACAACATACCGTAACTGCCACAACTGCCACAACATAGCATAACTGCAAGAACTGCCACAACTGCCATAACTGCCATAACATACCATAACTGCCACAACTGCCACAACATACCACAACTGCAATAACTGCCATAACTGCCATAACTGCCACAACATACCATAACTGTCACAACTGCCACAACATACCATAACTGCAAAAACTGCCATAACATACCATAACTGCCACAACTGCCACAACATACCATAACTGCAATAACTGCCATAACTGCCATGACTGCCACAACATACCATAACTGCCACAACTGCCACAACATACCAGAACTGCAATAACTGCCATAACTGCCACAACATACCATAACTGCCACAACTGCCACAACATACCATAACTGCAATAACTGCCAAAACTGCCATAACTGCCACAACATACCATAACTGCCATAACTGCCATAACTGCCATAACTGCCACAACATACCATAACTGCAATAACTGCCACAACTGCCATAACTGCCACAACATACCATAACTGCCACAACTGCCACAACATACCATAACATACCATAACTGCCACAACTGCCACAACTGCCACAACATACCATAACTGTAATAACTACCATAAGTGCAATAACTGCCATAACTGCCACAACATACCATAACTGCCACAACTGCCACAACATACCATAAGTGCAATAACTGCCATAACTGCAATACCTGCCACAACATGCCATAACTGCCACAACTGCCACAAGATACCATAACTGCAATAACTGCCATAGCTGCAATAACTGCCACAACATACCATAACTGCCACAACTGCCACAACATACCATAACTGCCAAAAACTGCCAACATACCATAACTGCCACAACTGCCACAACATACCATAACTGCAATAACTGCCATAACTGCCACAACATACCATAACTGCCACAACTGCCACAACATACCATAACTGCAATAACTGCCATAACTGCCATAACTGCCACAAGATACCATAACTGCCACAACTGCCACAACATACCATAACTGCAATAACTGCCATAACAGCCATAACAGCACAACATACCATACCATAACTGCCATGACTGCCATAACTGCCACAACTGCCACAACATACCATAACTGCCATAACTGCATAACATACCATAACATACCATAACTGCCACAACTGCCACAACATACCATAACTGCAAAAACTGCCACAACATACCATAACTGCCATAACTGCCACAACATGCCATAACTGCCACAACATACCATAACACATAACTGCCATAACATACCATAACTGCCACCACTGCCACAACATACCATAACTGCAATAACTGCCACAACATACCATAACTGCCACAACTGCCACATAACATACCATAACATACCATAACTGCCACAACTGCCACAACTGCCACAACTGCCACATAACTGCCACAACATACCATAACTGCAATAACTGCACAACATACCATAACTGCCATAACTGCCACAACATGCCATAACTGCCACAACATACCAAAACTGCCACAACATACCATCACTGCCATAACTGCCATAACTGCCACAACATGCCATAACTGCCACAACATACCAAAACTGCAATAACTGCCACAACTGCCACAACATGCCATAACTGCCACAACATACCATAACTGCCACAACTGCCACAAACATGCCATAACTGCCACAACATACCGTAACTAACTGCCATAACTGCCATAACTGCCACAACATACCACTGCCATAACAATAACCATAACTGCCACAACTGCCACAACATACCATAACTGCAATAACTGCCATAACTGCCATAACTGCCACAACATACCATAACTGCCACAACTGCCACAACATGCCATAACTGCCACAACATAATAACTAACTGCCACAACTGCATACCATAACTGCCACAACTGCCACAACACATAACTACCATAACTGCCATAACTGCCACAACATACCATAACTGCCACAACTGCCACAACATACCATAACTGCCATAACTGCCATAACATACCATTACTGCCACAACTGCCACAACATACCATAACTGCAATAACTGCCATAACTGCCATAACTGCCACAACATACCATAACTGCCACAACTGCCACAACATACCATAACTGCAATAACTGCCATAACTGCCACAACATACCATAACTGCCACAACTGCCACAACATACCATAACTGCCATAACTGCCACAACATACCATAACTGCCACAACTGCCACAACATACCATAACTGCAATAACTGCAATAACTGCCATAACATACCATACCTGCCACAACTGCCACAACATACCATAACTGCAATAACTGCCAGAACTGCCACAACATACCATAACTGTCACAACTGCCACAACATACCCTAAGTGCAATAACTGCCATAACTGCCACAAGATACCATAACTGCCACAACTGCCACAACATACCATAACTGCCATAACTGCCACAACATACCATAACTGCCATAACTGCCACAACTACCACAACTGCCACAACATACCATAACTGCCATAACTGCTCTAACATACCATAACATACCATAACTGCCACAACTGCCACAACTGCCACAACATACCATAACTGCCATAACTGCCACAACATACCATAACATACCATAACTGCCACAACTGCCACAACTGCCACAACATACCATAACTGCCATAACTGCCACAACTACCACAACTGCCACAACATACCATAACTGCCATAACTGCCATAACATACCATAACATACCATAACTGCCACAACTGCCACAACTGCCACAACATACCATAACTGCCATAACTGCCACAACATACCATTACTGCCACAACATACCATAACTGCCATAACATACCATAACATACCATAACTGCCACAACTGCCACAACTGCCACAACATACCATAACTGCCACAACATACCATAACTGTCACAACTGCCACAACATACCATAACTGCAATAACTGCCATAACTGCCACAACATTCCATAATTGCCATAACATACCATAACTGCAGTAACTGCCATAACTGCCACAACATGCCACAACATACCATAACTGCCACAACTGCCACAACATACCATAACTGCAACAACTGCCATAACTGCAATAACTGCCATAACATGCCATAACTGCCACAACTGCCACAACATACCATAACTGCAATAACTGCCATAACTGCCATAACTGCCATAATAACTGCCACAACTGCACTGCCATAACTGCCATAACTGCCACAACTGCCACAACATGCCATAACTGCAACAACTGCCATAACTTCCATAACTGCCACAACATGCCATAACTGCCATAACTGCCATAACTGCCACAAAATACCATAACTGCCACAACATACCATAACTGTCACAACTGCCACAACATACCATAACTGCAAAAACTGCCATAACATACCATAACTGCCACAACTGCCACAACATACCATAACTGCAATAACTGCCATAACTGCCACAACATACCATAACTGTCACAACTGCCACAACATACCATAACTGCAATAACTGCCATAACTGCCATAACTGCCACAAGATACCATAACTGCCACAACTGCCACAACATACCATAACTGCAATAACTGCCATAACAGCCATAACAGCCACAACATACCATAACTGCCATAACTGCCTTAACATACCATGACTGCCATAACTGCCACAACGACCACAACTGCCACAACATACCATAACTGCCATAACTGCCATAACATACCATAACATACCATAACTGCCACAACTGCCACAACTGCCACAACATACCATAACTGCCACAACTGCCACAACTGCCACAACTGCCACAACATACCATAACTGCCACAACTACCACAACTGCCACAACATACCATAACTGCCATAACTGCCATAACATACCATAACATACCATAACTGCCACAACTGCCACAACATACCATAACTGCCATAACTGCCACAACATACCATTACTGCCACAACATACCATAACTGCCATAACATACCATAACATACCATAAATGTCACAACTGCCACAACATACCATAACTGCCATAACTGCCACAGCATGCCACAACTGCCACAACTGCCATAACTGCCATACTTGCCATAACTGCCACAACTTACCATAACTGCAATAACTGCCATAACTGCCACAACATGCCACAACATACCATAACTGCCACAACTGCCATAACATGCCATAACTGCAACAACTGCCATAACTTCCATAACTGCCACAACATGCCATAACTGCCATAACTGCCATAACTGCCACAAAATACCATAACTGCAATAACTGCCATAACTGCCATAACTACCACAACATACCATAACTGCCACAACTGCCACAACATACCATAACTGCAATAACTGTCATAACTGCCATAACTGCCACAACATGCCATAACTGCCATAACAGCCACAACATACCATAACTGCAATAACTGCCATAACTGCCATAACTGCCACAACATGCCATAACTGCCATAACTGCCACAACTGCCACAACATGCCATAACTGCAACAACTGCCATAACTTCCATAACTGCCACAACATGCCATAACTGCCATAACTGCCATAACTGCCACAAAATACCATAACTGCAATAACTGCCATAACTGCCATAACTGCCACAACATACCATAACTGTCATAACTGCCATAACTGCCTTAACTGCCATAACTGCCATAACTACCACAACATACCATAACTGCCACAACTGCCACAACTGCCACAACTGCCACAACATACCATTACTGCGACAACATACCATAACTGCCATAACTGCCACAACATACCATAACTGTCATAACTGCCATAACTGCCATAACTGCGATAACTGCCATAACTGTAGCCTTCATGGGTATCTTGAGTGGTTGTGCCTGCTTTTCTCTCCACGATCCACTCAAGCGATTCGTGGACCTATTGAATCTTTAATTGCCTCCTTGGGCATTTGCTTGGAAAGCTTGTTCGTACGCGTAATGTATCCCGTAATGAAGTATTCGTATGTATTTGTGATATTTTGTGTTTGAGATTCATTTTGGGCACTTGTCCGTAAAGAGCAGGAAGTGCAATGGACCGTGATACTTCATTGCACCTTCGACATGGATTCGTTCCGATGAGCGGAACTGATTTGATTCTTTGTCATTGCTTGTTGAGCTTCGTATTCCTGCTTCATCATGCTTCATCAAATTTGCAAGCAACCAAAAACAGAAGTTTGGCATAGTTTAGCTGGCCGCATCCTGCTTAACTACGCTTACCGTGCACTTCGATTTGTTTTGCCCCCTGCCCTTCTGCTCTGTTCTCCATGTTTGCTATAGCCACTGCAAAGGGATTGAAAAGGGACTCTCTGATGAGCACATGCAACCTCGGATTTCGATCTGAGCTTGTCGTTTGCCTCAATTTCAGAATATTTTAGAGAGGATAGTCTGAATCAGAAAATGATGTTTGATAATGTTTGATATGGAATTGGTACACCTTGAAACTTGAAAGTGACACATGTTTGCCATGCGTACCTTGCAACGTCGCGTATCCGTATCCTGTTCTATTTTTTTGAATCTCTTGTATTCTCTTGTTATGTAAATCTCTCTATATTTGTTTACCTGTCTATCTGCGTATCTCTTTGTTTTAATGTATCTACATACATACACACAATGTTTAGATATTATACTTCATATATATTATATTTGTACATTATAACTATAACTATATCTTATTGATATACGTAATTGCGCAAGTATACATGCATACTTAGCATACATAGCATACATTATATTGTGGTCTGATATTTGTGTTTTTGTTTTCCAAGGCGCTTCCCATCGAAGCCTCTGAGCTCTATGAGAAGCACATGAAGCCTGCAAGGAATCGGGACGACAGATTCCATTCGGGAGAAAATCATGGTCAGAGCGGTTTGCCTATCAATAGTCGTAGAACACTCATGATGTGTTTTGAACATCTTTGAACTATGGCGTTCACCTCAATTGTCATTCTTCCTCTCCAATCTTTACTTTCACTGATTCACTTCTGCTTTCCAAAGTGTTAATTTTAGCCTGGTCACGCAGGCCCATCCCAAAATTCAGCAGTCCCCAAAGTTTATATACCCGCAATTAAAATAATGCATGCAATTGCAAGGAATGAAGGAGGGAAGAAACTTACAACTTACAGATACTTACAGTAGAGAGTCAACAAACTAAAAAATGCCGTGAGAGACATGAGAGACCAGAGGCGGCGAGCCAGGTGAGGAAATATGGGGGAGCAAAGGGATGGCAAAGTGCACATGAAAACGTCAGCGGAGATCAGCTTTACATACAGATCCTTGCAGGCCAGAAGGAACAACTTTGGATGTAAAAAAGTCGCGCTTGCCCAAGCTATCCCAAGCTGTTTCTTTTGCTTTGAAGAGCATGCAACTCCAGAATTTGCAACAAGGTCTCACAAGCAGATTGGAAAATTCTTGAATGCAATGCGAAAGTCCAAAGCAATCGACGTCACAGAGAAGAAAGGAGTTATCCATGTCTCAAAAGTAGCACCAAGCTCAGCCTTCTTGCACGGTCTCACACCATTTTTCTTGCAGTCTATTCACTTCAATTTGCTTACAGCACGTTCTGATTTAGCACAGTTTCGTCTTAAATGCGTTGGTTGGTTGCTTGCCTCTTGCAACGCACTGGCTCTTCATCCATGGTTGCACTTAAGATGAAACATGCCGAGGATCGAAACCACAAAGTATTTGCAGCTTTGGAGACGAAGTTCGTGGTGTGCTCAGTGCATTGGATATCATGTTTATCATGGGTAAGAGGATTAACATTGCTTGACGCTCTCAAACAAGCAGATTTGCTGTTTTTACTTGTTGAAGTCTGTGCTCGTGCCCCAGCAGTGAAAGCATGTGGGTCGCCGCACTTTTGGGTTTAGTACAGAATCTGTGTCCTGGTCTCTCAACATGAACATGTGTTCATTTACTTTCTGGGAAAGCCAGCAGTAGCAAGCTTGCGCTGCCTTTGCCATAGCTAAGATGATGATGTTGGCCCCCACCCCCTCCTCTCCCTGCATGGTTCGATTCCCCCTAGCGTTTGCATTTCTGTTTCATCTTGCAAAATCATGACTTGCACATCATTGTTAGACTTTGCTATTTCTCCTGCCGCTCGCTGCGTGTCACTCTCTGTTTTTCCTGTGTGGTCGTGTCTGTGTTGGTGCATGCTTGGTTGCCAGCATAGTGCATTTGATGTCCTCCGCCTGCAATGCGTTCCGCTTTTTGACCCACTCCCCTTCCCGGATCTTCCCAGATCTTCCCAGATCTTCCCGGTCTTGTTTTCTTTTGCTTGCATGCCAATGGCCCTTTTGAAAAGCACAACATGTACTAAAATCCATCTTACCATGTTATCATGTTGTTTGGCTCTGCTTGTTTTTCTACTATCCATGTTACCATGTTTTCCTCCTTCCCTTCTTTTGGGAGGCCGATGAGATAGCTGTAGTGCCTGCCGCAGTTGCGCCGGCTGCGCCAGCAGCAACAGGCCCGTGGCCATGAAATAGAAATCAGAGATAACTTGGAGAAAAATGAAGAAAATTGAGGAACTAGTTTGAATATGTGTAAATCAGTTCAAATTGTAAGGCAGCACAAGCCAGTATAATGAATTCGCAGCAGCTATGAGATGAGGACAAAAGCTCAAGAATACGTTTCCACCCACAACAGCTGCAATCGCTAGGAACATCGAGGGTCGAATCTAGGGAACCATGAAGTTATTTGAGTTGTATTCGATCCGGCGATCAAGATCGATCAAGCACAGCAAAGACATTCTTTTCTCATCTTTTCTCCTTTCCAAAGGTGGCCTTCCACCGCCCAAAGTCACGGCATTGCCCTGGACTGAGGGCTCTTGGTACATCTTGGCACATCTTGGCACATCTTGGCACATCTTGGCAACACGGGGACTCCTTGCCTCTTCCATCCTCTTCCACCCTCTTCCATCCTCTTCCACCCTCTTCCGCTGTTGCCGCTGTTGTGCCTCCAAGTCTCAGATCTCGAGCAACTGAACTTCCGTCGCAGATGAGGTGGAAGCCATCACATTATTTAGAAGCCATTTGGAAGGCCGCTGAATGCCACCGTATCAGTTGTACTGTGTTGACTGGGTTGGTTGTCCTAGAAGGTTAGAAGGTTGGGGAGGAGTTTTGTCAGTCATAGATACAACAGGATATGCAGCAGGATACAACAGGATACTGGTACAGCAGGAACGCACTTTACGTGCTTTCAGTGACCTTTCGGTTTCGGGTAAGGCCATGGGGAAGAAAAAGGACGACCTCTTCTCCTGGGATGAGGCTGATGGCCCCCGACAGCGTCCGCATTGTGGACATCTCTGCCATGTCAACATGAAATAGTGACAGTCTCATGAGCACATTCAAAGATATTCAAAAGATATTCAAAAACGGTAACGAATTGATTTGTTTCGTTAAAGCCTGGATAATGTTTTGTGGAAGTAAGATGATTGTTTTTCTGATTGTTTTCCTTGTTGCTTTTGTCACAGGCGAGATCAATAGTTTTCAATTACATCGAGCAGGACTGGATAATGCCTGCAGCACATCTTACGGCAACGTAGGAAATCATTGGAGCAGTTGTTGTTCACTTTCCTTTTTTTTGCCAGGAGAATCTTGGCAAAGATGGGTTGGGCCCTGAGAAAAGCTAGACTCCCATCTTATATATCTTATATGCCTGGGCTGGACGTTTCAATGAACGGAGGCTTGTGACAATGCCGGGTAGACCCTTCAGGTCAATCAAAATGAACGAAGGCTTGTTGGAAGCGCTATGGAAGACAGTCCGGACCTGAGAATCCTTCAACTGGCCGGCATTCAAGGCTCAGAGATCAACTGGCATCAACAATATAATAGTGAAAACATGTGAAAACTCAAAAAGTTCAATCATTCATGAGGATTTCTTTCAGCCCATTTCTGCAGGCTAGCGGTCAAAAAAAAGACCAGAAATGGCCCGAAGAGGCTCCAACTCCATTTAACATCAGCACGAAAGGCAGAATAACAGGCACCGTGTCGGACACCAGGCCACAAGTTCGCGCCCCAGGCGCCCCAAGACATGTTGAAAATGTTCGAACCAGAGGTTGATGCAGAGCAAGTGGAAGAAAAGCTGGAAGACAGACTTCAACGGTCAAGAGCTTACAGTGACTAGTAGTGACTGGACTAGCCAGACTAGGTCAGGTGAAGGATCTGAAAGTGCCAAAGCAACCGAACCAATCGAATTCGAAATGATTCTAATGCGAGGTACACGACGATTGACGTGGCAGGAGTTGGGCCAACCACCCGGAAAGGTCCTCCTCTGAACATAGCCATCAGCTTGCCCTGAAGCCCAGCAATTCGTCACGCTTTGTGCACAAAGGAGGTGTCTCAGCCTCTGAAAGTCTCAAATCTTAGAGGATTTTGTACAGGAATCTACCATGCCAAATTGAGATAGCCAGCGGCTGCCTTCATGTGCTGGCAGTTTTTTTGCTCGTATAGAGGCAAATTGAGCAGTCCTTATTGGCTCTCGGAAATTCTTTGATGGGATGAGAGCTGGGACAGGTATTTGATGGTATTTGATTTATTTTGATTTGATTTATTTTGATTTCATGTCTATGGGTTCTTGAGGTCAAGAAAAGGTGCCCACAACGTTACAAGGATTTGCAACTTGGAGGCGCCAAGTCTCCGGTCTTGAAGCGGCAACACGACACGACGTAATACGACATGGGATCACACTAGACATGGCAGCCAGGAGTTGATCATCGAAATATCATCGAACATTGACACTGGAATCACTGGAGTCCAGAGATTTTCCCTTTTTTGGCAGCAGCATCAGAGGAATGATTCGGAATGATGCTTACTGGCACCCAGCAAGATTTGAAATATTTTGAAATAGAATGAGGCTCCATGATGCTCCATGTTGGAACCCATTTTTTTTCCTGACTTCGATTGCCGTCTTCAGATTGTTTTTTTCCTCGGCTTGCCTCGGCTCCGTCAATGTGTTTTCGGCATGTTAGATTTTTGTTGCCACTTCTCAGCATTTCTCAGCACTTCCAGTTTGGTCACCGGAATGCTTCGAGGCCTACGGGCTCGATCCAGAGCTGCAGCCTTTGAGAGTCACAGTGTCACAGTGAAGAGAAAATCAATCGGGACTGGCAAAATGACATGATACGACCTGTTGGGACCATGACAAAGATGACAAAGCTCGTTAGTATTCGTTAGTTCAAACATGCCCATCACGCCCTCTAACAGCTCGCCCAGGCTTGGACACTTTTGTGTAGGGACTCACGTCGCTGACATGTCACCGACACTAACTGGCCACTGGCCATCACTTGGTCCGCGATCGAGTAGCATTATAGTGACAACAGCAACAACATGTCAGACAGAGTGCTGTCTTGCGCGCCGCCTAAAAAAAATCAAGAGGAAAGGAAAGCCTGAAATAAGAACGTTGCATCGTGGTTTTCTTCTTTCTACCATCATCTTGCTTGAAGTATCCATCTGTGTTTCGTTGTCATCTGGGGGTTACATGGGGCTACATCTAATTCATCTACATCAATCTTTGCGAGTGGTTCGTTGGTTTCTTCGGTCTGGTGTTTTTTTGGACCTTTTGAGATCTTTTTTATCTGTGGTGGTTTCTCTTTTTGGTCGTCGCCTCATATAATGGGCATTGGTGAGTTTCTCTGCTATTAGTCCTCCTATTCCCCCCTTTGCCGTTCCTGTACTGGTTCAAGGAAGATAGCAAGTAGGAGTATGCGGCAGTGTGCGTATGTTGGGTTTGACATCATTTGAACATGTCTGAGAACTTGGCTGATACAGACATAGTCCTGTGGAAAAGACTTGAACCGAGGCGCAGAGATAAACACAATGTTGATCATTGATATATGTTGATTAAGAATGATTAGTCACTATGTGTGACTATCTGTTGGCAGACGCATTTGGGAAACTGAACGAAATTAAACTAAATATTTGCCGATGAGAATTATTGAAGACTGGTGGATGCAATAGGAGCTTGGAGAGGATATTTTCTTTGCCCAAAATCTCAAGAAAGCGTGTTATGAACAAATCAACAACCCCAAAACTCACGTAAAACACTGTACTAGCAACAGTTATCCACTCATCCAATCCAAACATCAACAGTGAAAATCAATGACAAAGATGTTCCAAAATCACGGTCACGATAACGGTAAGAATGCAGCATTTCACGTCAACATACAAATCATGACAGGCAACATGGTAAGATAGCCTGCCCCGGCATCAATTTGAAACAAAAAACGATTTAACCTGATGGTCAGGCATGGTAGAAAGTAGTGGTGTGGGAAAGCGGCATGCATGTGAAGAGGGATGACAAAATGTAAAGGGCGCGAAGCAGAAAGAATTCACCATTTCTTTCAGATACATTCTGCTAAGTGAAAGGGCAAGTACATCGCACTGGTCAGTTGCTGATGGTGAACATGAGCTGGGTTCCGATCGTAGGAAATTGGTAAGTATCTTCTATCAATGAACTTCACGCTGTAACAATACGTCTAATTCAACATCAAGCGTCCTTTCCTTCAGTCTCCGACCTTTCCTGTTGGCCCTTCTACCCCTTCCACCTGCGCATTTTCCTTCCGTTTTCCTTCTGCACACCTTCTGCACATTTAAGATGAGTTTTTGTGTCCATAGTTTGAGCTTGGCTTCATGAGATTTATATAGTCAGATTTGAGTTTGAATCATGTTTGTTTGGAGCTCGCTCTGATCCTTGAACTCATTGCAAGTAGCAGATTTTTTGTGACCAAGGGCTTTGGGCGATGAGCTGAAAAGAAAGCTGAACTGCACAGTCTATATTGAGGAAATGCCTGGAAAGAACGTCAGCGCCTGAGTGTTGCAAAGAAAGAACTAGATTAGTTTGAGTATGTTTTAGTGATGCCCGCTTGCCACGAAACCCTTGGGGCATCTTGTGGCTACACACGCTGCATGCCAATTCAAACCAAATGGGTCCTCGGCCCGACTCGAACTATCTCGAACTTCTTTGTGAGATTTTGTGAGGTGAAAGAGAAGATGCTACAACTTCAGGGGCATGCCGCTTCGCAAAGAAAGGGTAGACGGGTAGACTGTACTTTCACTCTGTGTGCATTGTAAGATCCTATCAGGGATTTGGCCTGCCTAACGTGGAAGTGTCGCTTTTGCCTCATCAAGCCCCCTGAATGTTATGTACAGGGAAGAATGCTGGAACTCTAGCTTTCTCAGGTGAACCAGCTTAACTTCCAATGTACACAATCCCAAGACTCTTTCCCCAGCACTGAATCCTATCAGTCTTTGATGATGCACAACGATGACACTGTGATCTAATATCCGGTGTTCTGACCACTATTTGGCAGCACGATAGATAGATGGATTGATGGATTGATAGATAGATTGGTAGATAGACAGAAATCGATAGATAGACAGAGATATATAGATTAGTAGATTAGATCAGATTCGATTAGATTAGATTAACTTTTACTAGGCTAGATCAGATTAGATACAGAGAGAGAGAGCGAGATACAGAGATATAGATAGAGAATGATAGAGATCGATAGAGATAGATAAAGAATACCCCTTTACATTTCCTCTATAAAATGGGTATACAGTACCCAAGTATCGTTTAGAATGATAATTTTGGACAGCTGAGGTCTGTCCACAAAGTGTCCAAACAATTACAGTACAAACAATATGATTCTGATTTTATAGAAGGCTATTTGTAAACCATGTGTAAGCCAACATGTGGCCTATGACCAATTCAGGGGGACCCAAGAACCTGACTTTACAGAGAGGCTATTTTTGGCATGGTTCTGATTTGTGGGCCCACAGATCATGATTTTACAGAGAGGAGGCTTTTGAGACAAATTTGGTGTTGTAAGCGATCGACGCATCCCGTTAATCTGTTTATCAAGGCCCAAGGGGAATGGGTCTGACAAGCTGCCAATGCAACATTTGACTAATATGGATGGAAAAATAGAGAGGATTTCAGACTGGTTAGAGACTGTTTCAAATACCTCTTGGGAGCCCTTCACAAAAGACCAGAACTTTACAGTTTTTTATTGTTCTTATTTTTTGAAGGTTGGGCTTTTGGAGGCGACGGTCTCTATAAAACCAAAAAGATTCAAAAAGTTCCAGAAAGTGGGCTCTGTGCGTATATTTTCCGCCTCCCTGCCTCCTGTTCAAACTCCAAAATTTGGTCACTACATGCCTCAAACATCCTTGCCCCTTTCGATATTGTGAGACAGAGCAGGATTCCAAAATGGAACATGTCAGGTTTGAATGGCCCCCAAATATAGACTGTAATTTGTCGATTTTATAGAGAGGTTTTGCTTCAGCACTGCGCGTGTCGACGTTGCATTTTTCCACAGCTTGAAATTCAGATGGATTGGGGATGATTCGGAAATCAGTGGGTACCTGCATGCATGTACTCGGCTTCAATATGGACCCATTGTCTCTATAAAATGAGAAAGTTCCAGGAACTGGGCTCTGTTCGTGTGTTTCCGGACTCCTTGCCTTCTAAACTCCAAAATTTGGTCGCTACATGCCTCAAACATCCTTGCCCCTTTCCATATCATGACAGAGCAGGACTCCATAAAATGGAACGTTTCAGGTTTGAAGGAACCCCAAATAGAGACTTTTTATAGAAAGGTTCTGCTTCAACTCTGCGCGTGTTGACGTTGCTTTTCCATAGATAATTCAGAAATCATCTGGTGGTCAATATGGACTGAATCTCTCTCTCTCTCTCCCTCTCTCTTGGTTAAAATTACAGAGTGTAACCTCCCTGGTCGCGAAACTCCAAAATTAGATCATTACAGGTTTTAAACATCTTTAAACCGTTCCATATTGTGAGGCACAGCAGTAATTACTCCAAAATGGCAAATTCAGGTTTGAAGGGCCCCCAAATAGGGATTAATTTTTCGATTTCATAGAGAGGCTTTGCTTCAACAATCCCGGTGCCAAAAAGTCTCCCGAAATGGCAATTGTTTTTACGAAAGCCAGCTAGCTGGCTAGTTGCTGTTTGCGAACAAAGTGAGAATAGGGGGTGTGGGGGGGGGCGGTTGCCGAAAGGGAACGAAATCTCGCCGTGCCCCTGTGTTGAGCGCCAGAAAACGGAGCATTTTGCTGGATTAAGTACCACTAGGCAATTTGCTGACGGTGGGGTATCGATTCCCCCTAGGTCCGCCTTTTTGGTGGCCGGAAAGACCATGAGGATGTATTGGAAAATACAATGAAACTGCAGGAGAACATGATAACGATCAGAGGAAATCGTACAAAATTCCCTGGAAAACGGACGAAAACGGAGCGAATGCGAGGAACAAACCATGGAAAATCCCTTGGAAAATGGAGGAAACCGGAGCGAATGCTAGGCGCAAACCATGACGATGCAGTAAACATGCTGGAAAAATACAGTGAAAGTGCAGGAAAATGTGATAACAACGAGAGGAAATGGTGCAAAAAGGATCGGAAAATGAAGGAGACAGGTAAAACTCTTGGATTAATATTAATATTGAAAAGGTATGAAAATGCAGGAAACCAGAGGAAATGGTGCAAAAACCTATGGAGGAAAGAGGTGAAAATGATAGGAAACATGTAGTAAAAAAATGCTGGACAAAACATATTGAAAACCCACGAAGAGGATGTATTGGAAAATACAATGAAACTTGAGCAAAACATGATAACGATCAGAGGAAAATGCTAGGAACAAGCCATGCAAAATCTGTTGGAACATGGAGGAAACCGGAGTGACTGCTAGGAACAAACTATGACGATGCAGTAAACATGCTGGAAAAATACAGTGAAAGTGCAGGAAAATGCGATAACAACCAGAGGAAATGGTGCAAAAACGATCGGAAACTGAAGGAGACGGGTAAAACTCTTGGAAAAATATATTGAAAATGCATGAAATGCAGGAAACGAGAGGGAATGGTACAAAAAGCCATAGAGGAAAGCGGTGAAAATGGTAGGAAGCATGTAATAAAAAAAGCTGGACAAAACACAGTGAAAACCTACAAAAGAGAAGAAAGTAACCACAGGAAACGGTAGAAAAAACAGTGGAAACTGGAAGAAAAGTTGTGACAATATTAGGAAAACGGTGTACAAGCTAGGAAATGCTTGTAACAACTAGAGGAAACGATGTAGAAAACAGTACAACATGGAGGACACGCGTGAACATGCTAGGAGGCATGTAACATGTTAGAAAAATACAGTGAAAACCTAGGAAAATGTTATATCTAAAAATGCTTTAAAAATATAGTGAAAACCAAGACAATGTTAACGAGCGGAAACGTTGAGCAGGAAATCCGATTTGGTTTCTGTAGATAATGTTAGATGATGAGCAATGTAGTTTGGTGATAGGAAATAGTGGCTGACTCGCGTACAAGACATTGCCATGAAACCTTGGAGCAAGATGCGGATGGTATAGGAAAAAAGATGTATGAGTTGTAAGATTTTAGGAGTTGCATGGGAAAATTGGTTTCATGGTAATCTGTGTGAAGTTAGAAAAGTGTGATTTCGTTCACAGAGTAAGAAAAATAAATACAATCTGCAGATTAGAGTATTTATAATGCTTAAAACTGTTTGACGTTTTTTGGTGCCTCCCTGATTCTGGTAGTTTTGTGATAAGAACTACAAAAACGATCTACTGGTAAACGGAAGGAATAGTCTTTCCGGTTTAGAACTGAGTCGACTGTCAAGTGATGCATAGGCTCCAGGCCTCTGGTTATTGTCACAAAGCATTGGAATGAAGATTGCGCCCAGGAGCCACCTAGGTTAGGAGACAAATGCTGTAATATCATTGTAAGAGGCCGTACTGAGAAGGCTGAAACGGAACTAAAAGTGAATCTTGTACTAAAACATCGAGAAAGAATTTGAATCTTCTAATGGCAATGACGGGAATGATATGCATCTGTACGTCCGTGATAGTATGTGTGCCTTTTAAAAGGGATGTTTGGCGAGTGGGATAGCTGAGAAGATTTTCCAGGATGCCAAACAATTATCTCTATCGATGTCAGGGATGATGCTATTCCGCGACATTTCCTGTAAAATACCTATTTTCCAGACCCTTGAGGGGTGGGGGGGGGTACCCAGGTCTGTAAATGGCCTAAATATATATATACTTTTGATTTGGACTGCATGTTCGCCACTGTTCTATATTTCCCGTGGGTTTTGCATTGTTTTCCTCGATTTTCATTCGTTCTTATACCCTTTCTTACGTATGTTATAATATTGTCTTGGGTTTGCACTGCCCATTTTGCGAGTAGAGCTATATTTGATTTCTCACCGTACGGCCAAAATGTTGCGGAACTTCGCGGAGAAGCATGGACCACGATTCTGGGGAGAAAACAATTTAGACTTTGAGAGGTCACATGACCACTGTTCACACAAAAAAACGGGTATTATTTATCTACAATAGGTGGGAGCAAACTTGCGCTGTTTTAAGATAAATGAGCAACCAAAGGCGGATTTACGGAACTTGAGATAGAACTTTTCACAATGCCGCAGTACATTGTAGGAAACATATTTGGATATAGAAGTTACAAAATCGTGGAGTTTACCCTAAAAAGGTCCATTTAATGATTGGAAAATTATGACCCGATAGCAATTGTTGATGTTGGGGCGCTTCATGTTTGAGCCATGCCATATGGATGAGGTGGAGTTTCACGCGCCCCCGCGCGAGTCAAAAAGCAAGCGCTGGCTTTCGTTCCACCCCTTCTCAGGTTTGTTTTCTTTCATTTATATAATATATTGTTGATTATTGTTGGTGTTATTTTTTTCTGATGCGAAGCTGATTCAGCAACCTATGGAAGTTGATGGTAGCAGCCATCCCAAGAAAAAGCCGTTCTATAAAATCGAGGACCCAGGTCCGCTTCTATTGACATCCCTTTCAAACAGCTCCACTATAAAATCAGAGATAGGTACCCCAATATTGAGGGTCAACATGTTTCAAAAGACTTTGTAAAACCACCAGTTTGGAAATCCTGATTTTATAGTGGACCAGGTGGATGACTTTAAGGGGAGAAAGGTGTTCCAACTCTAACACTGTTCCTAGATTTTGCATAGAGATTTGGTTTTTGCAAGCAATGATGTGGTGCTTTGTTTTTTCTTGATTTTATAGAGACGTATTTCTTGCAATCTGAGTTTTTCTTGATTTTAGACTGGAACCCAGGTACCTCTATAGAATGGGGCACACTGGGTGACCGTTGAAATTCACAAGGAGATGATACAGATAGATAAAGATAGCTAGATAGGGATAGATAGACATAGATAAATAGATGGGTGGATAGATAGATAGATAGATAATGATAGATAGATAGATAGATAGATAGATAGATAATGATAGATAGATAGAATAGAATAGAATAGAATAGAATAGATAGATAGAGAGAGATAGAGAGAGATAGAGAGAGATAGAGAGAGATAGAGAGAGATAGAGAGAGATAGAGAGAGATAGAGAGAGATAGAGAGAGATAGAGAGAGAGAGAGATAGAGAGAGAGAGAGATAGAGAGAGAGAGATAGAGAGAGATAGAGATAGATAGATAGAGGTAGATAGAGATAGAGATAGATAGAGAGAGCTAGATAGATTAGATAGATAGATAGATAGATAGATAGATAGATAGATAGATAGATAGATAGATAGATAGATAGATAGATAGATAGATAGATAGAGAGAGCTAGATAGATTAGATAGATAGATAGATAGATAGATAGATAGATAGGTAGGTAGGTAGGTAGGTAGGTAGGTAGACAGGTAGATAGATAGATAGGTAGATAGGTAGATAGGTAGGTAGATAGACAGCCAGATAGATGGAAAGATAGAAAGATTGATTGATTGATAGATTGATAGATAGATAGATAGATAGGCACACAGATAGACAGATAGATAGATCGATGGATCAATTGATCGATCAATGGGTCGCTAGATAGAAAGATAAATAGATAGATAGCTAGGTAGGTAGATAGACAGACAGGGATGGACAGAAATAGACAGGGATAGATAAAGATAGACATAGATAGAGATGGGTACACTCTTAGACAGAGATAAAGAGATAGATAGACAGAGATAGATAGATAGGCAGACAGACAGCCACACACATAGACAGACAGACAGACAGACAGACCAGACAGACAGACAGACAGACAGCCAGGTAGGTAGGTAGATAGATAGGTAGATAGGTAAATAGGTAGATAGGTAGATGAATCGATAGAGAGAGGGAGGGAGGGAGGGAGGGAGGGAGAGATAGAGAGACAAATATAGAGTAACAGAAATTTAAAGAGATAGAGATATAGAGACAGAAATATGAGTTATGTAAAGACACAGCAGTTACAGGTAAGATAATACGAAGATCATGATCAAAATATGAATATAGATAAATATATAAAACTACGTATAGATAAATATAGATAGATTTAGATCGATGTAGATAGATATAGATAAATATAGATAAATATAGATTGATATCAATGGGTAAAGTCGAAGAAGATAGATAGACAAAGAGATTGATATAGTTTGATAAGTTTACATTTAGTACTCGTACCCCAAGGATGCTTGCAAATCATTTTTCACAATCATGACTCGTAAAGGCAAGTCCAAAGCCAAAGGGTAAACCACAATGTTTGAACATCGGTTTTAACGCTACAAATTGTGCAAAACGCGATGAGACGGACCGTGCAAAAAACATCTACTGGTACCAAGATATGTGCTCTGGAAACGCTATACTGTGTATTTGTTGGTAACAAACCTTGCATTTTGAAAAGGCATCGCATATTAGGGATCCAAGCACCATGCGCAAGCTCTTGCACTTCCCAGCTCCATCCAGATCCCCACTCTACGAAAAAGCACCCACTCTATTGAACCTTTGTTGACCTTGGTTCGTCTTGGGCAAAGGACCTTTAAGAGGAAAAAATAAGCAAATTTCTACGAAGCGTTCAGAACCTGATGGAAATCTGTGAGTATTCTGGGAGTGTCAGCTTGCCAAACTTGCCACCACCAGCCACAAACCATCACCGCACCAAGACTCGCTGCAAGGTGGACCAGGAGTTGGGTCAATTCCTGGAGCAGAGGTACTGGGCTGCAGCTGCGTGAAATTTTGATGAACTGTGCAGTTTCAAATCTGTGCCGCTTCAAATCCTCTCATTGCGCTTTTGCACAGGTACGGAATTACCAAGAAGTTCCTGGAAGTGAAGTAAGAGCGAAGTAGGATTTTTGGAGGATGTCATGATGCGTTTCACGTTTCGGATATCTCGCCTTTGCTCAGAAGAGGCAATACACTTGGGGCGTTGACACCCGCAGTAGATACAGCTACGTGGTTGTTATTCATCGTGCCTAACATTTGTGCAGTATTTTAGCGGGAAAAAAAAGGTCCATTTGCGGCAGTCCCCGTTCCAAAACAATCCACACTTCATGGCTGACAATTGGGTTGTTCGTGTGTAGAGCAGCTTGCTGCCTGTAACTTGGGTCATTTTGGGTCCTATCTTGTGGGGATTTGGAGAGAGCTGGGGATGAGAAGAGAGGATGGAGAGGGTTCCGGACTACAACATTTTCCAAGTCATCAGTACTTGGATGCGCGTGCATGATTGGGAGGGCCAAATGCGGGCGATTTGTGACCGGGTGTGTTCATGCAAGCACTGATGTTGGTTGTTGGGATTGTAACCCGGCAGACACAAGTGTCTTTCTGTGCGAGCCGTGCACCTACGTGGAAGACTAGCCTGTGAGTGAGTGAGTGTGTGTGCGGGTGGGCGTCTTGTTTGTTTGTCTTGCTTGTCTGTCTGCTGGTTTGTTTCGTGCTTGTTGTCTTCAAAGCAGAATGGCACGTGCCTGGGATTGCTGGGGGCCGGGGTGAAAGAGCTTGCTCTGCTTTTTACAGAATGATGGCACTTGGATGCACTTGGTCTGATCATGTGGTGAACAGGTTTGAGATTGCCATGAATATCATGAAGGTGCTGTTTGGGTGAATCAATGGTCCAGGACTGGTCCAAGGGTAGCCACAAGTGTACCCTAGAGTTCTTGAGCCAGCCCGACCTAAAGCGTCACATCATGTACACCATCATTCACATGCGGTTGTCAGGTTGTCAGAATCTGACGTGTGGTTCAATATGCTGAATTCTGTTGAACACTGGTATGTGACAGAAAAACCCGCTAGTTAATTCTCCTTTAGAGGTGACTGTAGTTGCAAGTACACGCAAGTACTGTATGTTGCTGTGATATTTCCTTCTTGGCCATAGTCCTTCTGTGTTAGGCATGCCGCCGGAAATTAAATCGAACATTGCAGTCGTTGCAGTCTTCTTCGCAGGAAGATGGATTGCAGCTGCGATGACTGCGCGGTCTGTTCAGTCGGTTCTGTCTACAGGCAGTGAATTCAATCTGCCCACCAACGTCAACTGCGGCAGCAACATCTCTGGCTCTACAGTTGGTTTGATTGGAGGTGTCCAATCACACCGATTTTGTCCCAACGAGACAGGCAGGGTCGAGGCAAGCACCTGTGGCTCCAGCTTCTTTCCAGGGGTCTCCAGCAATACGACTACACTGCCCTGCAGCCAGACATGCAATAGTGGAGAGTGTATTGCATTCATCTTCAGGCCTGGACGGGAGCCATATTGAGATCAAAATGGTAGTCGCTTTGCCTGCCGTAATTTCCTACAACATCTCCAATGAACCTTATCCTATTATGTCATTTGTAGGCCCCTTCGTGGCCAGCATTAGATCTGAGGACACCCGAGGTGCTGACTTTGGTTTGCGCGCGTCTGAGTCCTATCAACTGCGCGATGCTGGCAATTTGTAGTTTTAGACTGCAGATTGCAATATTTTCTTCCGCCGGACCCAACCATCTCAAGACTGGCTCAGCGTCAGCTCAGTTCATCCAAGTGACACAATAAGTCAATAAAGCTTCTCTCTCTCTCTCTGTTTGTCTCGCTCTCTCCCTCTCCCTCTCCCTTTCTCTCTCTCTCTCTCTCTCTCTCTGTATTTCCAGCATGGCAATGGCATGGGGTGGTGCAGCGGGTAAGATTTTTGAAGGAAAACCGTTATTTTGCTCACGTTGAAAGCATCTGGGAATGACTGGCGGCAGGTTTGGTTTGTTGCTGCTCTGATAGAATGTGTCGCGCGCATCAATCATAGCTTGGCATTCGGGCAAACACTCGCTTTGAGATGCTTTGAGTTTTGTTACTTCATGATTGCCAAATGCTTGAAGATTTGCCAGAGAGGTCCTTTCAGTGCCAGCGTAAGTCATCCCTGGGCTTTCATATTATGTTGGCCCCAGGTTTCCCATCTTTGAGCTCTCGCATGTTTGCCTTAGAATTCCGATCCTGCAAAGAGACAACTGAGCCCAATCGAGGCAATAAAAATATCAAAAAAGCACTGCGCCGGCAGCGCAAATTTCAATTTGATGAGTGACGCTCCAGAGGGACCTATTTAAAAAAACAGCATGAGCACATTGGTTTTACAAGTGCGGCCCCTCCAGGACCAGATTGTTGGCCCTGCAGCTGACAAGATCTATTGCTGTGTGCAGACAGTTAGGCGGTGTCCCACTCGTCTTATTTTCTGGGCGTTGGTTTTGAGATTGCCAAGGGCCAAGCATAGGCAGCCAGACAATGAAAAGTCCGTAGTATTCTGGCTATTTTCAATGACAGGCTGACACGTCACAGCGCGCATGGGTTTTGCGCCAGGTTCACACACAGACAATCATACGCGTGTCCAAACTGCTAACTAAAACGTCATACCAAAAGCACTGCCTTGGATGGGTGCCCAGTAGGGCTACGGCGCTGCAATTCCAGACCTATGGCGGCCCCTAGGACGCACATGCACGAGTAGCGAAGAAAAGCCTCCAGACTACTCGAAGTAAACCGCGAACTTGTTCCTGTGGAGTAGATAGGTAAGGGCAGATGGCAGATTCAATATTCTGTGTGAGGTCTCAGACGGCCAGTGCGACCTCACTGCAAGATTGTAAAGAAATGTAAAGAATGAGCAAAGAGGTGATGAAACCGAGGGGGATGAGCTTGTGACGTTGCTGCACCTTCAAGGCGTTTCTGCCTCTGTTTTTTCCCGCAACGCAGATTAAAGTTCATGATTGCACAAGGCATGAACTGGTCTGATAGTTGGATTTCCAACTGAGCGCTCTTTGGATGCAAGAATTTAGAGGTGGTTAACCAGTGGAACTCCGAGTCTTCTTGCAAAAGAAGTTCTCCTGTGTTCTGCACGGCCCGAAGCACTGTGCAGTTTGATGGGCATAGACAGTCACGGTTCTGCGTAAAATGTTTTTCACAGCCTCTTCGCGTAGGCTTTATATTATTGTGGTTCTATCATGTTCTATCATTCTATCATCTTTCATCATGTTTTGAGCTCTTGTGTCCACATCCACAGCTCAAATCTCCACATTGGAAAAATGACACGAAGGCGCCCAATGAAGCCCATCCCGTGGCCAGGCATAGGTGCGTGGGCTTCACAAAGGCGCCCCTTGCATAGCAGGATCTTTGAAAATGCAAGTACGCCCCTGCATTTTGTCTTTTGGCCAAGAAATAGTTTTTTCCACAAGCGTTTTTTTTGGCAGAACGGTATTGTTGTGATTCTCTTGTATGCACACGCGTTCCTTGCGGCACATTGTTCGTTGTGAGCGGTTCTTTTGTAAAACAAAGGAAAAAGCACGGTGCTTTTGATCAGCAGCGACAAGAGTAAAATGTGGATACGAATCATATGTCCCAAGCAAGACAACACTCAGCTGAACAGCCCTGTGTGGGCACACTCGCATCCCAGCGCATTCCAATTCCTTATCAAGACCCTTATCTTCAGTGCCCCGAGCTTGGCTGAACTTGACTCCCTGCAGGCCTGGAGAGTGCTACGAAATCCTCGTCGAATCATTCGGCCAGGAAGGGGATTACTTGCTATCCATGACTTGCATTATCGCAACAGATGTACCAGTTCAGTGTGGCGACACCACTTCCGGCTCAACAGTGGGTCTGCAAAATTTGAGGGGGTTTCAATCAGGTGACCAACTTCATCTATTTTGTCCCACTGAAACTGGTACAGCCCTAGTTGGCACTTGCGAGTCTGATTTTGATACCGAGCTGTATATCAATGGCCCAGATGTTGATATCAGCTGCGACGACGACTGCAATGGCTATCCACCGTGTGGCAATGACGATTTGAAGGAAAATGCGCTGTTCGACTTCAAGGCTGGAGCATGTTATGATATCATTGTGGGTGGATATGGCGATCAAGAGGGAAACTATGCTCTATCAATCCTTTGCGCGAACAGGAACAGCTCCAAGATAGATATCGCATGTGGCAGCAACATCTCTGGCTCGATTCGAGGTGTCCAATCACACCGATTTTGTCCCAATGAGACAGGCAGGGTCCAGGCAAGCACCTGTGGTTCCAACTTCGACGCAATGGTCTACACCATCGATCCCACAGCACAAAGACTGGATAACGAGTGCGGTGACGGCTGTAATGCAGCTTGTATCGAATTCGGCTTCAGGCCTGGAAGGGAGATTGAAAGAGGTGGTGGCTGGTTTGCGGCTACGTAGTCCCTTTTTTTTCAGATTCCCCTGGGATTTGTTTCAGAAGCGAGCCAGAAAGCCAGCAAGCAAGCATGCAACCATATGCAACCAGCCAGCAAGGGCACGCATGCGGGGAGAGAAGGGGAGACAATGGGAGACACGACCTCGGGAAGGCGGTGAGGAAAGGCGGACACACCATCCAACAAAAGGAAGCAAGAAGGGAGACCAGGGGAGACAAGGGGACAACACCAAGGCGGACACCTTAAGATTGTGCATTAAGAACCCCTAACAGTACACTGCTTGGGGAAAAAGCAACAGCTGATAATTATGAGGAAGAGGGTGGGAGAGGGATCTTATGCACTGATGCAAACAAAAGCAGGAGTCATCCGTCCATGAAGCTAACTTGATAGCCATCCTGCTGTAGATCTTCGCAGTCTTCAGCTGTTTTTTATTTCAAATCAGATCGTGATGACAAGACCAGGTTGCGACAAACGGAGTGACAAAATTGACTTGGCGTTTCTCGGTTTGGTCGCTTGCCATATGAAGTTGGACATGATGCAGGTAGGTGGCCCTATAGCGTCCCAGAGTCATATCAGTAATGCGTGCAGCCTCATGCAGCCCTCTCCGTCGGGCGGCCAGCTGCAAACGTGTAGTTGCCCCCCTGCTGAAGGGGAAGCTGTTCAAGACGCAACGTAGAAGAGAATCCAGTTCAGTCAGTTCAGTCTCGGTCAGCAACACGAAAGAAGAAGCCCCCGGTAGAAGTTTTACATCGCTTCAAACGGTACATAGATAAACAGACCAATCAGCAGAAGCAAGGCCCATGCGCAAAATCTTAGAACATGTGCGAGCGGGCAAGACGCAGCCATTCTTTTGTTTGCAGTGGTATGCATATGTGAGCACCTATACGAAGTATAGTTTTAGGTTTCAGCTAGCCATGCCGGCAAGATCACGTAAGAGGTATATAGGGGTGCAACACCCATCTCACCTCCTCCTAAGTCAATCAAAAGTGCCTTCCCAGCATGTCCCAGCTGTGATTCCCATTCCTGGCCTTGTCTTGCCAGCTTGACAGACCCCGAGGCCAGGAGAGTGCTACAACATCGAGGTGGGCAAATTCGGATCGGAGACGGAGGGTGATTACGTGTTGTCCATCAATTGCAACGTACAAAGTTCCATATCCATATCCATTCAGTGCGGCGACAAAGTCTCCGGCTCAACAGTGGGCCTGCCAGATGTGACAGGTGATGGAGGGGCGGGCGATCAAGTGCACAAGTTTTGTCCCAGAGAGGATGGGACGGCCTTGGTTGACACTTGTGAATCCGATTATGATACCAAGCTGTATGTCAATGGCCCAGGTGTTGATCTCAACTGTGACGACAGCAGCTGCGGCATGGCTTGCGGCTTTGGCAGACAGGAAAGTGCGATGTTTGACTTCAAAGCCGGCGAATGCTACGACGTCATTGTCGGTGGATATGCCAACAGCGAAGGAAATTACGTTCTATCAATCAGTTGCCCGCAGAGGAATGCCTCTACTGGCACCACAGCAACAACCACAACAACCACAACCAGGGAACTAATAAGCATTGAATGCGGCAGCAGCATCTCCGGCTCCACAGCTGGTTTCAGACAGCCATTCAGCTTCTGTCCAAACGCTACAGGCAGGGTTTATGCAACCACTTGCGGTTCCAGGTCATTTACAGAGGTCTCCAGCACTGCCGCAGAACTCAATACTGACTGCGGGGCGGATTGTAACGCAGGCTGTATCGAATTCAACTTCAGGCCTGGATGGGGGATTGACAGAGGAGGCGGTTGGTTTGCCTTGGTCACTATAATCTGCACTGAACCTGTCTTGTGCCTTGTGCCTTGTGCCTTTGTCTTTGGCCTTTTTCCGCTCGCTGGAAGCCTGAGAGTAGTTTCAAAAGTAGTCTCAGTTTTTGATTTTGATTGCTTGTTGTTTGGGTTCTTTTTTTTTGCCAGTCTTTCCGTTTTTTTTGGTAAAACTGTTTGAAAGTCATGTGCCTGCAACGTGCTTCATCAGTCGAAGTGCAAAATGAGTGGAAAACATACAGTAGTATCAGTAGTTATTTTGAGCCGGTGAACGCACAGACCACCAATCAAAGGATGTTTAGGCCAAAAAAAAAGTGTTGCGGACGTTCACATTCTCTGCAAATCAAAACATCACAGCAACCAACACTCGCAAGTCATTTTCACCACGACATACCACGACTCATTATAATTGCAACCAATCTTACAGCTGCACATCCTGTATATGCGTGTCTTACATGGGCACATCTCACGTCTGTTCACCTTCGCATCTTCCAGCTGTACATTTTGCATCTTCACATCTGACATCTGCACATCTTACATCTCGACCCCTCGCATCTTCGCACCTTGCATCTGCGCTTCTTACACCTGCGCATCTTTTACCTTCACATCTTACATCATTTCTTCTTAATCTGGACGTCTTGCATCTTCACTTCTTGCATCTATCCTACGTCTTCAGTTCTTACATCTGTACATATTCTCTCTCTTCTCTGTTCTCTCGCTTCTTTCTTTTTTCTTTCTCTCTCTCTCTCTCTCTCTTATCACTCTTCTCTCTCTTCTCTTTCATACTGACATGTAGTTTGCTCATCGGAAGAGTTTAACATACACCTGAGCAACTATCCTCTTCTACGTTCTCAGGACGTCCGTCGTCTAGTTTGCATGTTTAACATACACCTGAGCAACTATCCTCTTCTACGTTCTCAGGACGTCCGTCGTCTAGTTTGCATGTGGCGTATCCATTTTGCACATGTTGCCCAAAAAAAAACCTTTTACGGCTGGAACTAAGATTTTTTTTGGCACCTTGGTTTCACGATTTCACCTTGTGAACCCGGTAGGCGGGTGGTGGTGCATGCAGGTACCACCCAGGTTTCCCTGGGTCCTCTTTGGACCTCGTTTTTTGGCCCTTGTACTTGCCATGCGGGGGGGGGGGTTTGTCCCTTGGATACGGCACTTTGAATCAGGCGCTTGCACAAAGCAAATGACGAAAGAATTTGAGCTGCTGAATGATGGCGATTTCAAGTTTAGCATGCCTAAACAAGATTGCATAATTTCGAAATAACAAAAATAAATTTGGTTTTCAGGGTTTTTCCAGGTTAGAAACGTGACAAACGTCTCCCAGGGCAGGCCCCATTTTACTTATGGGAAAGATGCCCAAAATAAATATACGAAAGCAGGTGTGTTTCCATGGTGGTTTTGATGGACCAGTGGATGTCAAAACGATTTCAAGAATCATATGCGATCCCATGCGGCAAAAGCCATGCAGCTATATGGCTTAACGCAAACCTGCTGGAGTTTGCAGCGATTCCATGCGACTTAGACCAAGATCTTGTGATATCTTGTGTATATAGCTAACACGCCTGCTTGATGAACTAGACAGCTGATTCCACGCACAAACCACATGAGAGTCCCCCAGCGTGGTTCAATTTGCAGCGTCCCTGCAGGTCCGGAAGGTGTTATGAAATCCTGGTGGGTGAACTCGGAGCATCAGCGCAGGATTATGTGCTGTCCATGAATTGCACTTTTCCGAACGCAACAGCTCTTCCAGTTGAATGTGGCAGCAAAGTCACGGGTGTTACAGTGGGCCTGCCAAGTTTGAGGGACGATCCAGCAGGTGACAAGGTGCATCATTTTTGCCCCAACAGAACGGGTATAGCCCAGGTCAGCACTTGTGAGTCCAGGTTCGATACCAAACTCTATGTCAATGGAACAGATGTCGATCGTGAGTGCGACGATGACTGTGGCTTGGGGACCTGTCGCCGTGGCCTGGGTTTTGGAAACAATGAGTTTCTGACATTTGACTTCAAGGCTGGAGAGTGCTATGACGTCATTGTCGGTGGATTTGCCAACAGCGAGGGAGAGTACGTTCTATCAATTGATTGCGTCGACCAGAAGGTACTTGAATGTGGCAGAAATTCCACTGGCTCTACAGTTGGTTTGCCCAGTTTGAGCCCTCAGACTGTAGCAGGTGTTCAGCCATTCATATTCTGTCCAGGTACTTCTGGCAGAGCCTCCGTGTCCACTTGCGGGAGCAACTTCAGTGCTGGCGTTGGAAGCGGCCCGGTGGTGTTCACCAATGCTACCCAACAGAGTTTCGATTGCAGCGCTGAATGCAATGCAGCCTGTGTTCGGTTCAACTTCAGGCATGGAGGAAGTATGGGCGATATTGGGCTAGGGTTCAGTTGCATATTCCTTGGATCTGACACGGTCGTTTTCGCATGTTTTCGCTAATGTATAGTGAGCACGTGTCGAATCACCATCTTAAATCTTGAACATCAAATTGGCCACCTACTACATTCACCTACTGTGGATGGAAGAAATCCTGCGCCAGTCGGGAATTATTGGTAATTATGAAACATTGGAAATAATGGGATTTCAATGGGTCAATGAAACCATCTACCAACTGGTGTAGGGTTTCTTTCATCCACGGCATGCAGCCAACCTCGTGGGGTTATGGGGTTGGGTTGGGCATGGCCTGAACCCCTGTCCAACTGAACAACAGCCCTGACCAGCTACTCTGATTGAATTCCATATGTACCCCAATATCGGTTCAATATCGGAATACCTTCACGTACGTCTCGGCCCCTAGCGTGACCAGCACGGCTTAGTTTTGCAGGTCTGGAGAGTGCTACCGGGTCTCACTAGGTGGAGACGAGACATCAGAGGGGGACTACGCGCTGTCGCTGAGTTGCATCATTCAGAACACAACAGCTATTCCAATTAGTTGTGGCAGCACTGTTACTGGCTCAATCGTTGGCCTGCCAAGTTTGAAGGGAGATGCATCAGGCCGACGTCACATCTTCTGTCCAAACAGCACAGTCACAGCTCAACTCAGTACATGCGGGTCCAACTTTCGCACTTCGCTTTACATCAATGGTAGCGACATAGAATATGCATGCGTCGGTGGCGCGTGCTATTCTTTTGCCAGCTGTTCAGCGGCAGAAACTACGCTGAATTTCAGGTCTGGGGAGTGTTACGACATCATTGTTGGTGGGATCTCTGAGTGGGACGAGGGCGAATATTCATTGTCGGTGACCTGTACATCTATCACGGCATCAAATATCACTTGCCCAACATACCTCTGGGACGGTGAACTATTGAATGGGATCCGTGATTTTGCCCATCCTCTCATTGTTTGGGGCTCGTCTGATGAAGCAGAACAATCATTCACTGGCCCAGAGAGCCCTTTAGTGAACCACAGCCAAGTTATACTGGCAAATGCATTCCGCATTGGCGTAGAAGTGCGAGACAGATTAGTTGATGGCCTCATCGGACAAAGCATTCACCTGCTTGTTTTCGAGGATATACAAAACATCCGTGACATCACAGGGTGGAGTCTTGAACAAGCATTCTGTCCGCAGTCAGCAGCACTACAGATGCAGGGCGGTGGATTTTCAGCAGGGCCCAACAGTCTCCCCAGCAGATATAGATCATGTGTCCAGAGAGAAGAGCTGCCGGCCAACACAGATGGACTGTATGGCAGTGCTTCCGTCGCTGCTTGGACAGCTCCCTATGAGAAGGGCCGCATCACATACTACGCAAGCAGTTTCAGTGAATCCTCCCTAACAGATGAATGGAGACAGCTGATTGCAAGCTCAATTGGTTTGGTTTGTGCCGGAGAAGTAGTCGTCAGAACTGGCAACTCCAGCACTACCACCACTACGCCTGTCCCTGTGGTATGTGGCAGCGTTGTTAGTGGAACCATCGTCCAGGGAGGCTCTCTGAATGACGGCTTCAAGAAGCACACGTTTTGCACTCCTGAAGAAACAAATGGCCTCGGACTGGGGGAAGTTCTCTTCAGCACTTGTGGCTCTTCGATTGACACATCGCTCACCGTGACTGGACCAAGTGGTGAGCGCTGGCAGTGCACAAACTGTGGGAGATGCGGTCAGAAAGCAGAGCTGAAGGTTTCGTCTCTTGGAAGCAGCCGTTGTTATGATGTAACGGTTTACAGCAGTGGAACCGACACAGGCAACTATTCCCTGTGGGTGTCATGTTGCCAAGAAGAGCTTTGCAGCGGCAACGGCCTCCCAAGACACACTGCATGGGGGCCACCTATGGCAAATGCTACTGGCTTCGATTTGTGCAGATGCAGTTGCCGTTGGCCCTTTACCGGCACTGCGTGTGACCAGTGCAATGAATATTCTTTATCTGTACCAATCGCAGGTGCTTGTGCGAATTGCTTTTCAGAAAGCTCCATTGATTTTTACCGTGTTGCGTTGGAAAACTCAATTGTGACATGGTCCCCATCACTCTTGCACCCTGAGTGCGATACGATCCGTATCCGATTCGAAGAGTACTCCTCCACTATTGCCATCCGGACCGAATATCAGAATGGCAGCCTTGCTGTTTTCATGGGCTCATGTCCTTTCCAAAACTTGTACCGGCTGTCTGGATGGATCGTTGCAGGTGCCAGGCAAATGGGGAGAGTCATTTGCGTACCAAAGTTCACTTGCGATTTCGAAATTTTCGCTGGTGCTAGCTTGGACTTTTCACCCGACAACAGGTCAGTGAACGGTACGAACTTAGTTTCCATGCAAATCTTGACGCTGCATGACGAGCGTGTAGCTTTGGCTGCGCTTGCAATGCTTGAACTCCTAGCCTCCTTCAACTCAAGCAGAAGTGCCACCCTGCATGATAGATTTCGAAATAGCTTGAGATTCAGCTTAAGCTCAGTGTCAGAGGCCCAGCAGTTCCTAAACAATGTGCTGCAGTCAGAACCATCCCAAGACTTTTGCGTGAATCCTGCGGACATTTCTTTGCCAGCTGTTGATCCAGAGACTGAGCTTGTGGTGCTGTTGGGACGGCTTTGTGGATCGCGCCAGGAAATTCAAAGTTTAATGCGTCCAGTTCTCCAGCGAGGCCGTTCAATTCTTCTACTGGGAGAAGCGGGGGAGTTGCCCGAATTCATGACAAAGATCAACATCAGGGTCTCAGAAGTCGCAGATCAGACGTGTACCTACTTCACTGCATGGCTTCAGTATCGCTCTAATGCACAATGTGTTGAAACAAAGCTGTTACACACCATTATTGGAATCGGGTGACTACAATGTCAGCGTCATTTTCAAGAATGGTACCAGAGCTTTTGCCAAACACAGGCTTCAAGTTCAGTTTCCTCTGCAAACCAGTTTCGAACCACAGCGCTACGTGTCGTCTCCCAATAGATTGTCTGGAGTCTTTTCAGTCTGGACCAGGGAGGTTCGCTTTAGTGCACCTTTCTTATATCTCTCAGACCTTTTCGACCGAACATGTTGCGACCTTGTAGCAATCGGATTCGACCTGACTGTCATGGGCAGACTGAAGTCAAAAGTGTGTGGCGAACGGGGATTTTCAACCACTGTTACCCTTCCAGAAATTGAAGATGAAAATGCGTTTCCCCAGCCAGTGCGATTTTTTGCCTGGCGCTGCTTTGCTGATGTGTCACAAGCACTCGTGGATGGAAGCAGTTGTAGTGTTCCCCAGCCTGGCCAGCTACCAGTTGCAATGAATGCTTTGAGTGCTGCAGGTTTGCTTCAAGATGCAAGAGACCAGTTACAGACCTGGAACCTGCAGCGGCGCATTGATCAATATGTGGACTCTTTGCATATCAAGCGCTGGGCTTGAAGGGAAGCTCTTGACATGTGTTCAACAAGAAAGGTCGACTTACTGGTAGCTCACTCCAATTGAAACACCTGAGTTGGCTCTACACTTGATTGGGAAGGCTGTTTGGAATAAAAGTTGGTTGGTCTATAAAAGGCTTGTTTGTGTTGAAACTGAGTGTTGCGAAGGCAGGTGTGTTTAAAAACGTCTGTGTTAAAATATATTAAGATTATTATGATACAGGTAAGCATAGTTGAGCGTGAAAAAGAAGGCGTTGTGTAGGAATTGTTGTGTGCAGGATAGAGTTTTTCCCGAGAGCGCCTGAGCCTAGGGTTTTTAAACTAGACGACGGTTGGCCCGAGAGCGAAAAAGTCGTAAAAGATAGTCGGTGAATAGTTGGTGAATTTTATATGAGCTATGGAAGGATATGGTGTGAAAAAGTAAGATTGATTAAGAAGAGGATACTTGGTAAAGGGCATCAGATGACAC